AGTCATGTTACAGAAAGGAAGGTGCAGACATTAAACAGCTCTTCACAACTCATTGTTTAGTGACAAGCAAGAAGAATGTGATGGGAGAGAAGCTTAGGGCTAAAAAGCATGTGGCTAGAGGCCCTGTGTGGGCCCTATGGGGGTTTGAGTTACTCCCTTGAGGAAATTATGCTTAAGACAAGACTGAAGGTTGAGTAGGAAGGAATTGGCCAGGTGAAGAATGGGGAGAGAACATTCCAGTCTAAGGGACCAACATGTGGGAAGGCCTTCAGTGGGAAGGCAGGTTGGCATTGGGAGGAGAGCAGGGTATAGGAAGGAGGTGGCCAGTGGTTTGACTGAAACTAGTGAGGAAGACCCCGGTACAATGTCTTTATCCCATAATAATACTGACATGGCCCTATTCCTATCTCCACCTGGCTCCAAAATGCTGCTTTTCTTGACATATGGCACAGAAACACCAGGACTTACCTTTGACGTGTATGGACCCACGAGCAAGTGTTAAAGGGTCCTCTCTTTTTTTAGCTTCCTCACCAAACACCTGCCCTGCTGCGTTCTGCGTACAAATGACATCTTCCACCAAGGCCAGAAGTTTGTTGATGTCCATCAAGTTCGCTGAGTCCCAGCCTGAGGCAGGGGAGGGCACCTTGAGAGCTTTAAACAGTGAGCTGACAAGTCGACACATATCCTGCAAGTCATACCAGGTGGGTTAAGGGGACATGAGCCATAGGTGAGGGGTGGAGCATAATGGTCAAGAACATGTTTCCTGGTGCCAAACTTGGGTTCAAATCCCAGCTCTGCCCACTGAGATTCAATGTTGGACCTACCAGAGCTTTCATCTCTAAAATCTCTCTTCTATGATTTGAATGAACCCATTCCAGGTTGTATTCCTCAAAGTGTGGCACATAGTAGGGTTTAACAAATGCTTAATGAGTGTATAACTTCAGGAGAACGAGTCCCTTTTATGTGCTTCCTGCCTGGAAGTCTATAATAAGGGTGTGATATTTTGCACATAGTAGGTATTCAAAAAGCTCTTGTGTGTATACAGTTGATGAATCTCAGCAACTGATGTTGTCAGACAATATGAAGTTACCAGGCCCCAATTCCCAACCCCCTCCTCACCTCTCCCAACCCACTAACACTGGGGGAAGTTGAGGACATGCCTTGATCACTGCTTCAGGGGTCAGAAGACCATCTTCCACTGGCTGTGGGGAGGGAGGCAGGCTGGAGGACCCCCAACCCCATTTCCCAGTCTTCTGCTCCTTGGTGGCCCGAGGATGGGTGTTTCTAAAGATCTGAACGATCAAGAGGTTGATGGGAAACATGAGGAGTGAGCTCTCCAGCCCAATCATCACTTCCTGCCAAGTGAATTCAATTTTGCCTGCAGAAAGAGAGAGGGTCCAAGGGAGAGGTGGCCACTGAGAGCCAGTCCCCTCCACCCCTTCCAGGAGGTGGTATTCTGGGCTGTGAGGCTCAGGCCCACCAGCACCAGCCTGACCACCATGACGGTGTGAATTACCCAGGTCCATCTTTTGCTCAGCTGGGTCCTTGGGGACACCCCAGAACATGATGCTGGTCAGCATGGTGCAGAGGAGCAGGGAGAAGCAGCAGGACACCCTCTGGACACGAGTGAAGTTGCTCCAAGGGGAGCGGCTGAAGATGGAATACCAAATGTGTCCATCCTGGAAGCCAGAGGAGGTCTTCATGGAAAACAAGTGGCTGTGGGCAGGCAAGGCAGAGTGACAGGCATTTAGGGAGCTGGGAATGGGGAGAGACTGGTATCTTTGGAGTCATCCTGGTGTGAGAGGGAGGAGATTTAGTATATAAATCTTTCTAAGATTTATTATATTTATATTTTTCTATTATAGAAAAAAAATACAGAGTCATAGTGGGATCATTTGGAGTTAATATTGGAGACTCTGGACAGAGTTGGGTTGGAATCCCACACCGTTTTGCTAGCTGTATGACCTCAGGCAAGTGACTTTACTCTTTGTGCCTCAGTTTTCTTGTCTGTAAAATGGAGATTCAAACATTTTCCCACATGATGGATGAACTGTTGACAGTGGTAGCTGGGATGAAAAGTCGCCTGAGTAAATGCCCTGGAAAGCACCTTAATGCCCATTGATGTAAGAATGGCTGCATCAGATGTGGGACATTTATTATATGGAATATTACACAGCCAATAAGGAAATAGCTCGATTCAACACACTTTCCTGGAAGAATATTTAGAGTAATGTGTATAGCAGGGTGCCATTTAAAAAGATATAAAATAAACAACAATCTATAGTGTGTATATGCTTGTGTGTGCACAAGCATATTTGTATCTGCTTAAATGTGTTTGGAGACAGATGTGGAAGGATGCACAACAGGAAAAGGAGCTGGGAAGTAAGCAGAGCAAAGGGAAGCATATGCTGAAAAATATGTCTTGGATAAAATAATACAAAAAACAAGAACAACAAAAAACCAAACCCGTTGCTGTCAAGTCGATTACAACTCATAGTGACCTATAGGACAGAGTAGAATTGCCCCATAGGGTTCCAAGGAGTAGGTGGTAGATTTGAACTGCCCATCTTTTGGTTAGCAGCCCATCTCTTAATCACTGTACCACCAGGGCTCCAATACAAAAAAGGAATCCCCAATAGCCACATATTGAATAACCATCCAAATCAGTCTGTCCTCGGAGATTAAAAAAATATTGTTCTGTGACATTCACAAAGAAATATGGATAACTGTCCCAACCATCTCACCACCAGAAGACAATTCAGTCTTGAGTGCCCATGTCCCTCTGGGGCCATCATTCCCATCAGGAAAATTGGCTGATGATTACTACCACACACTCAAACCTACCCAGGTCCATTAGCTGAAATGTACGTTATCTGGCGGCAACTGAATTGTGATGAGATCTCCCTGGAGATGAAAGAACAAATAAAGAGCATTTGCTTTAAAAAAAAAAAAAAAAAAAAAAAAAACGAAAGAAAGTACCTGAATTGTTTCCTGTCCTGTTCCGTGGCCACCGGAAACACCTTATCAAGGACGCAGTCCCCAACATCAATGGACAGCCAAGAGTTGCAGAGGAAATGCCATTTCTGGTCCATTGCCAGATCATGGACCAGCACCCGGCTCACGTACCTGGAGAAGGGACCCACACTTTTGAGGATAAGGTAGGAGAATGAGACTTCTTTGGACACCATGACGGTAATACCTTTGCAAACTGAACCCAAGAACAAGAGCTCCTGGAAAAGACACTTGGTGTTTTTCTTCATTGTTCTTGATTCTTGATCAAAACATCCCAATCAGTGAGTGAATGTGGGGTGTTTGAATAGTGTAGAGAGCCAGCTCAGGGAGGTTGCCAGGTCTTTATAAATAGGCTGCAAGAGGGTGCCTTTTGAAACTATCAACCCCTCGGCATGGCATCAAGCCCAGGGCCAGCGTCCCAGCATAGCTGAGTACAGCTAAACTGTCTAAACTGTCTGTGTTCAGGGAGATGCAGTCTGGACTGTAGAAAACATGACCTTCCTGATAAACAGACTGTGGCATGTCCATACAGTGGAATATTATTCAACCTTAAAAAGGAATGAAGTCTTGATTCATGCTAAAACATGGGTGAACCTTGAAAGCAAGCTGACTGAAAGGAGCCTGGGCATAGAGTCCAGGAATCTGTGTTTCTCTGAAGCTGCCCAGCTGATGCTGATGGGTGGTCAGGCTGGGAACCAGTGATCTGGGTCACTAGTTTGGCTGCATACAGAATGGGGTAGAGTTTGGGCTCTAAACTAGCCAGCTGTGTGAACTTTAGCAAGTCACTTATCTTCCCTGAGCTTAGATTTTCTCACCTGTAAAACAAGAATAACAGTACTTGTCCCAGAGGGTCGTTGTGAGGATCAAATGAGAAAACACATAGAAAAAACATACAGAAGGCTTAGCCTAGTGCTCAGGGCAGCAGCTGGTCTCACCTCTTCTAGAGAATCAGCCCAGTGTCTGTTTAGTCTCCTCTATCGCTCAGTGCTTATCTTCACAGTATGTATCTATCCCCATTTTTATCAGCTTCCATTGAGTCAACCCCAACTTATGGCGACCCCATGTGTGTCAGAGTAGAACTGTGCTCCATAGGGTTGTCAACTCAATGGCTGATATTTCAGAAGTAGTTTGCCAGGCTTTTCTTCTGCAGTGCTTCTGGGTGACTCAAACCTCCAGCCTTTAGTGAATGAACATGCTACCCATTTGCATCACCCAGAGACTCCTATTTTACAAATGAGGAAGCTGGGGGCTAAATGAGAGGCTGATACTATGAAAGCACCTATGGTGGGCTCTCACTGGACCCAGGACTGCAACTTCCAGTCCTTCTCCTAGCATCTTGCAGAATCTTGTGAGGATCAGTTAAGTGGCAAATGTAAAGTGTCAGCCCTGGGCCTGGTGCGCAGTAGATCCCCTTGGATTGCTTGCCCTGACTCACCAGGATGGTTGGTGCCCTGAGTTGTCATGCCACAACCTGAGGCTCCGCAGGTCCCCCAGGGGGAACAGGGTGGAGAGCAAGAAGACATCCATTCCTCCTCGCTCAAAAACCGGGGTGTCAGGGTCTGCCAGGTGGTGGGGCTCACTCTCTCCATCCAAGCCATACAGAGTGACCGTCACCTGAAACCCAGAGATCGAGTGGCCAACTCAGTGCAGGAATCGAGATGCACTGGCCTCCACTTCCAATGAGACAGGGCCCTTCCACCCTCCCCTCTCCTCCCACCTTGTCCACCCGAGCTATTTTTCAACTGTATGAAGATTTTGGGGTGACACTGTCTGCATTCACTTCTTCAAGATGAGTTAAACTCATAAGATACTCTCTAGTAACCTTTTCATACTTTTCATATATTTATTTGTAAGGGCTATAGGACAGGAATTGTTTTATTTTACCCTCACAATTATATTCCCAGTGCCTCTAAAGTACCTGATACTGACAGATTAGTGGATGAGTGCCTACTACTATGAAAAATACGTATTTCCAATTTCCCAAGTGAAAGACATAGCTGCAGCAGATGCGGTCTGTGCTCCACCTACATCTCCAGCCTTACCATTGCTGAGGTTGCCATGCTCCCTGCACTAACTTCCAACTGCCAGCATCTGTGTCTCTGCCTGGGAACATTCTTTGGGTGCTAAAGGAGCAGGTCAGAAGTGCCGGAAAATTAATGCCACTTGCAAACTATCTTCAACTAACGATGGAGGAGAATTGGTGGATCAATACCCCAGCTCCCTCCTCTCTCAGGTGGGATGACTTTGAGGCACCTGTTCTTCCTATACGAGCTAATTTGCATGCAAGTAACCAACTAAATGTCTTAGTTATTCTTTGATAGGGATAAGGGAGATCCAATGTGCAGAGTGTCAGACCCCAACCCCCTCTTAACCTATGCTTCCTTTATCTTTTTAAAATATTGAGGCTTAGGGTGATACTTAGCTTGACAAAAAGATTCTTTCCTCTAAGAGACCGAAACAAAAAGAGAAGGGAAAAAAGAAAACCCCAACCACACAAAATCCACTGAGCTAAAGTCACTCCACAAGGGCCCAGTAAAGGCTTCTGTGGGTGGGACATGCTCAGTGACTGATGGGTCTTGTGGGGTCAGGTACCTTTGAGGAGGTGGCTGCCCCCCGCCGATGTCCAGTGTAGACTGTCACCATATAGTGGTACTGGGCAAAGGGATCATTGTCCTCCAGCACTGTGACCTTTACCTGCACAAAAGGATAGCATTAGGAGGGTCCTGCTCGGTGGGTTCATCCACCACGCAGCAGGCAGCAGTCAGGTGTGAGCTGGGCATTCACGACAATTAAAGGGAAAAAGCAAGATTATTTATGCAGCTTCTCATAAATAATTATTCTCATAAATAAATTATTTATGCAGTTCTCATTCTATCAGGTGAGGACTGCTCTTTGTGAAAGCAGAGTTTCAAGTAAAAGAAAAATTGTAAAATAAAAAAAATTTACAAAATGCATTGTTTCTTAAACGTAACCCAATGTAGTTAAATTGGAAATGAGATTGGTATTAAGTTGAGAATTTTCAATCTTTGACCCAGTGAACCATACAAACTCTGTTCACATATAAATCACCATAAGATTGATAACCAAATTATGTCTCTGAGGGGAAGTAAAAGGAACTAATATTAAGATGATTTAGTGAGAAAAATAGCCATAGTTGGTCAGGGCCTATAGTGGACTCTGTAATGCGCTGCCCCGATCTCCCTTCAGTGGAGGGCTTGTTGGCTCAGTTTCCAGGAGTGCTGTTGGTTGACAGCCTTCAGAGTAGACAGCTTGTTAGGGGTGCAAGAGTCACCTTGGTCAAGGTCACATGCCCTCCTGCGGTGGCAGACATTCAATGATCTATCAGTGGGGTGCCTGGACATTATCAAGACTTGGGCATCTTGACCCAGCTCGGAACAACTCCAGAGCTCCCCATGGGGTCACCTGAGCTGTTGTTTGGCTTCACTGCAACTTGAAACTCCCCCTGCCCATCCTACTTCCCTCTTTTCCATGGGGGTTGATCCCAGGGCACTCCCTGAAAACACCCCACATGCTCAACTCTGTCTCAGAGTCTGTCTTCCAAGGAACCAATCTGTGATTAAGGCACTTTAAGTTTTCGTGTTTAATCACTTAGGCGAATCAAAGACAGCAATATAAATGCTGAAACTATTATCTTATTAAGTTTTATACCATGTTAACATCCTGAGTTGGTGTTGATGTACATGTGCAAGGGAGGGTGGCAAAGAGGAGTATTTCAGAGCTTTTCAACAGTGCAACCGTGTATCCATTTATTTATTCATACATTCACAAATATTTATTGAATGCCTACAGTGTGTCAGGCATAGTGCATATATTGGGAAAATAATTAGAACTTCAGTTTTGCAAATAATTTGTTGTTGTTATTTGATCTCGTTTTTATCCTCAGACCTGTCTTATTGTCAGGTAGATCTGGGTTTGAATTCTGGCTCTCACAGGTGGCTTTGGGCCAGTTAATTACCCTCTCTGATCCTTAGTTGCCTTTTTTGTAAGATGATAAAGATCATGTGCAGTAAAGGGTTAATTCAGCAGGCTTGGGGTAGTCAAACTCTGCACATTCCAAATAAAGGACTGGCCCTAGACTGACTACTGGGAGATAACCTGTAACTATAGAACGATACTAAAGGTGCAGATAAATCCTTGGAATATCCTGTCTGATAAGTGTCTTTGTATACCAGGGGCCTTGGGCCACACCAGATAGTTTATATTAATAATGTGATTTATGGTGAGAGCCTTGGACCCCACTGTATCAGTGTGACTTCTGGAGGGAGTCTTAGAGACTGAGTAACTAAGGTCAGTCACAATGCCCAGTGCTGGTGTCATTCTGTGTGACTGACCTCCAATAAAAACTCTAGTCAACAATGCTTGGATGAGCTTCCATGGTTGGTAATACTTCGTGTGTGTTGTCACACATTGTTGCTGGGGGAATGGAGTGCTATTTATGTGACTTCATTGGGAGAGGACAACTGAAAGCTCATGCCTGGTCCCTCCTGGACTCAGTCCTGTGTGCTTTTTTTCTTTGCTGATTTTAATCTGTACCTTTTCATTGCAATAAACTGTAACTGTGAGTATAACAGCTTTTCTGAGTTTTGTGCATCCTTCTAGTGAATTACTAAGCCTGAAGGTGGTCTCAGGGATTCCTGACACAGGTACCTTCCCATACAGCTGCTATGAGCATTAAATGGAGTAATCCTTGGAATGTAGTTAAGTCCTCAAACAGTGTTTGGTATAAGAATCCTCAGACAATTTGCTGAAATGGTCACATATCATCTTTCTCATTTTGCAGATAAACAGCCTGATAGACTTGCTTGCCTGAGACAACCCCAGGGGTCAAGGATTGAATTAGCAGCTAGCCTCTTGCCTCCCTGCCTGGGCTCCATCCCTAGAGCCCCTTGGAAGGGGACATCCCTCGCATCTCCCTCCCATTCGTGGAGACCAGCACAATCTCACCTTGGCCTTATCCTGAGCGTCCTTCCTCCTGGCCCAGATCACCACCAGCACGTAGGCCACGCAGAGGCAGCCCACCGTGGTCATGACCACAGGGTTATCCTCGAAGGTGGCAAAGAGCTCAGCAGTCTGGAAGACGTCAATGGCGTTGGGCATCACCAGGAATGTGCTTCCAAAGAAGGTGAGGTGGTTGCAGAGGCAGTGTGTCTGGGAAGGGGTGGTCCGTGGTCCCACCTGCAACCCCCAAAAAGGCCCTGGGTGAAAACGCTCAGGGAGCACACCCTGGCTCAAGCCTAGGGGAGGAGAATGATGTTCTCTTTGACAGATGGACACTGTACTGGGGCATGGGGCTGAGGAGACTGCTGCGAGTCTCCTCCGCCCCATGATACCCCTGAGGTTTATTTTTAATTAAAAATTGATTTTAAGTGCAGAGAATATTGTCTGTAACAAACATCTTTGTGCCCATTATCCACAGTGGGCAACTGTGTACATTTTGTCAATCTATTTTGTCTTTTCTTACATAAAAAATATTGCAGGTAATGTTGAGGTCCTTTTTGTCCCCCAGCTTTCTATAAGAATTTTAAAAATTTGTTGTATCTCCTTCTAGTACCCTCCCCTGCCTGATGCTCATTCATATGTCAAGTATTTGTTGAGTGCTAATTATTTGCCAGGCAATAGGCAAAGTGTTGGGGGACACCCAGGGTGACCAATTCATCTCAGCCACCCAGGACATCCCTGTTTTTGAGGCTGAAAGCCCCACATCCCAGGAGACCCCTCAGTCCTGGGCAAACAGGGATGGTTGGTCACTCTGAACTGAAGAGCAAAAAGATAAGAGTTCGGGGGAACCAGGGGAAGAAATAGGGAAGGACAAATGTTTAAACCTTAAGCTCCCATCTCAACACTAGGAAGGTATTTCCTAGACTTTTACTGCCCTTGGATCCAGGTGACGGGGGCACCTGCCCTAGCCCTCCTTCAGCTGCACACCTCTGCACAGGATGAGGAATTATGGGGTCAAGAGATCATGTCCACCTGGTACTCATATCACCCAAGGCTGGGACTAGGGTGAGGAGTGACTCCCTCCTTAAATTCTGGGCCCCAGGCTTCACTCTAGTCCCAGACTTGGGACCCCCAATTTTAGACCAAGGTTTTGGTACCTTGAACCTCAGAATTGCTTGCTTCCAGGGCCTGACAGATCTCTGCCTCAGGTTCATCCTTCCAAGCTGGGCTGTGCCACTGGGCTAAGGGCGGCAACAGGTGGCTATGTGGGGGGGTGTGGATTAGGGAGTAGAGGTCCCACATGGTGTGGGACAATAAGGCTGGGGGAGGGAAGAGACAGGATTGGGCCAGGGCATGGGCCTGTATATGTCCTCTTGCTTCAGACCCTGCGAGTATAGGGTCAGGCTTTCCAGAAACCCCTCAGCCAGCTTGCAATCAGCCCCCAGTGCGATTTGACAGATAAAGAAGATTTAATTCAACCACACAACTCAGCACCACCTTTTTATCCCAGGGCCCACCAAGAAGTGATAAGGAGGAGGGAGGGAGAGCAGTAAAAAGATATATCCAGAAAACACTTCTCTGCTCAAGCACCTGGTGAGGAAAACCTCCCACAGCCCAGACTTGCCCCAACAGTAACTCCTCTCTTTCCCTTAACAAGCCACCCAGCCCAAGGATGATCTCTCCACAAGGGCATAGTGCCAACTGTTTATGTACTTCATGAGGGTTTTGTTCCATGTTTGCTCCATTGTTTTTCTCTCTATTTCCCAATTCTGGTCAGCATTTGGCACACAGCAATGGAGCTTGCTCGAACACCTGGACACACCCGGAGGAGGTGGGATTGGATTCAGAGAAGAAACCCAAGCAGGTGCCAGGACAAGACCTTCTTCGCACTGGGAGCTGGGGACCAGAAATGATTCATACCTAACATCTTTGCCCTCCTGGGTTTTCACAAAGACCTTAAGGGCAATGGTTTTCCCAACATTTTCCAGCCTGAGAAGCCCTTTTAAACACCAGAAATTAATCAGTGAATCCCCTCATGACAGTAGTTGCGCCCTTATTATCTTTTGAGAAAATTTATACCCAAGAATATGCTTTCTCAAACATCTTGCAGTAATTCTGCCCCTACCTTCCAGTAAGGGTCTGCAGTCCATCGATTTGGAACTTTTCTTTAACTATTTAGAGAATTCAGAGATGGTTCTCCATCCAAACTTGATGATCTCATTTACTCATTTATGGGTCCTCAATGATCTCAATACATCTACATCCATATCTCTCTCTCTCTCTACCTGAATCCCACAACAATCTTAGGGGGTTATTAGGAAGATTTGATGAGATGCAAGCGAAGAGTGGAACACAACACCTGATGTGTAACAAATCTCAGCTATGAGTTCATTTCCTTGGAAATGATATCTTGGCCTCCCTCAGCAATCCAGAGTCCCCAGGCCTCCTGAGTCATTTATCCCTTCCTTCGTTCAATAATCACTTACTCCCAGTGATGAATAAAGAGGCACTGTTCCTGCCCTCTTGGGGCTCACAGTGCATGGAGGGAGATGTTGATTAAACTGTCTCATACGCAAATAAAAATTATCACTCTGTTTAGTGTGATTGGGGGGGTGTGCTCTGAGAATTTGTAATAGAACGTCTGACCTAGTTGGAGTTGGGGGGGTGGCGTTAAGAACAGTTTTCCCGAGGAAGTGAAGCTTGAGGCAAGATCTGAAGGAGAGTTAACTAGGCCAGGTGGGGACGGTGCATTCCAGAACAAAGGGAAGCATATCCAAAGGCCCTGTGGAGGGACCCAGGACAGTGCAGCAGAGGTACTAAAAAAAACCAGTTGCTGTCGAGTCTACTCTGACTCATGGCAATTCCATGTGTGTCAGAGAAGAACTGTGCTGCACAGACTTTTCAATGGCTGATTTTTTGGAAGTAGATTGCCAGGTCTTTCTTCCAAGGAGCCTCTGGGTGGACTCGAACCTCCAGTCTTTCAGTTAGCAGCCAAGTGTGTTAACCGTTTGCAGCATCCAGGGATACAAAGTACTCAGAGGAGACCCTAAATGAGCTGTACACGTCAATCAAGCTGCCCTGTCTCTTTCTTCAGTTCCCTCTCCTTACCTGGCACCCAGAGCTGTCCCAGGTTTCCTGGCCCTCATCCCAGAACACACAATGGGACAGGAAGGTGGTGATGCCAACTGTGAGGTCCCTGACGGCAGTCAGCTCCAAGTCACAGGCAGGGACCACAGTCAAATAGTAGACACCTTCTCCAAAATGCAGGTCCTCTGGTCTCAGGATCCATGTGGACAGTCCATCTGGAAATGCAGAAAAGGTGGTTTGGGGTCAGCCTGAAGCTTCATCAAGATGGACACTAACAGGATGGGGAGAGGAGGATCCAGGCATCCTGACAGGGAAGCAGACCCTGATGTCTCCTCAATGTCCTATGAGTATCCTCTCCCCCTGAGACCATGAGTGTAGACAAGGAATCACTTCCAGGTCAGTGTTCAGAGTCTGGGCTGCCAAGTCAGATAGACAAGTATCCAAATGCTGACTCTGCCTCTTATTGGCTGTGTGACCTTGGGCCAGTTACTGAACTTCTCTGTCCTTATCTGGAAAGTGTAGATTCCAATAGCTCCCACCCTAGAGGTTGTCATGAGGATTGCAAGATGTCAGTTCTGTAAAGTGCTTGTTAGCTTCTTCAGGGCACATGGTAAGTGCTCATCTAATGTTGACAAAGAATAACAAGAACAAGCCACTGAATGTGCAAGTGGTTTTCCCTTTGTTTCTTTCTACGGCTTCTGATTCTCAAGTTTTTAGCTGGTCACACCCCAGAAGCAGCTCAAGAAACTGGCCCAGGTAATGGGACCTACCTGGATCAGCTGTTGGTGGAAGGTGAGTTGTGGCATCATGGTTGGTCTCGTTAGGGTGGTAGCCATAGCCCAGGGTGAGTGTGAGTGGGATTCTAGGTCTCCAGTGCAAATGTATCCCCAAAGCGGCCTCCCCTGAAGTCAGGTTCACCCGCAAAGCCTCAGGGCCGGTCAGGTTCAATACAGTCGGCTCGCCATATCCTTCTGAAAGCCGGGGCAGCAGGATCTGTTGTTAGAAAAAATCAATCAAGGCTGTGTCAGGAAGGAAATGCCAGTGAGCACCAGGGCTTCTTTATGCAGCTGTGCATGTTATTCACTGGTCAAGGGCAAGCACCTGCGGAACTGAAATGCAGTCTGTTCTTTCCTCATTGTATGAGTTTCCTATTGCCTCTGTAAAAAATCACCACATAGTTGGTGGCCTAAAACAGCACACACTTATTATCTTACAGTTCTGGAGTTCAGAAGTCCAAAACCAGTTTCATGGGGCTAAGTCAAGATGTCACAGGGCTGGTTCCTTTTAGAGGATCTAGGGGAGAATCCATTTCCTTGCCTTTTCCAGCTTCTGGAAGTCCTTGGCTCACGACCTCTTCCTTACTCATTCCAGTCTCTTGCTTCCATCATTATTGCCTTCTCCTCTTTTGTAGTCAAATCCCTCTCTGCCTCCCTGTTATAATGACCTTGTGATTACATTGGATCCTCTTGGATAATCCAGGATAAGCTCCCATCTCAAGATCCTTAATTTATTCACATCTGCAAAGTACCTTTGCCATGTAAGGTAACATTTTCACAGGTTCTGGGGATTAGGATGTGGCCATCTTTCGGGCCATTAGGGCCATTATCTAGCCTTCCACACTCATGACAGTGTGCCCTGGCTGTATCTGTGCAGAAATAGGGATGACTTTTTCTAATTTGCACAAAGGTGCTCTATGAACAAGTGGTATTTTGACAAACGTGCTGAGCAAGTAAGTGTAAAGGTCAGTGTAAGTTAGGAGCACAAGCCTTAGAGGCAGAAACACGTCTGTTTGGATCTTGGCTCTGCCCTTATTAGTTGTGTGATCTTGGGCCAATTAACAAACCACTTTGAACCTCAGAATATTCAAATTATATTGCATACAGAATGTTTGATAAAGTGCCAGGTATACAGTAACTCTCAATAATTAGTAGGGGCTATTACTTGGTTGGAGCCCTGGTGACACAGTGTTAAGAACTGCTAACCAAAAGGTCGGCAGTTCGAATCCACCAGCCACTCCCTGGAAACACTATGAAGCAGTTCTACTCTGTCCTATAGGGTTGCTAAATCAACTCGACAGCAATGGGTTTGTTTTTTTGTTTTTTGGTATTACTTGGTTAAAGCAATTGACTGCTAAACAAAAGGTTGCCTGTTCAAATCCACCAGCAGCTCTGTGGGAGAAAGATGTGGTAGTGTGCTTCTGTAGAGATTTACAGCCTTGGAAACCCATGGGGTTGCTGTGAATTGGAAATGACTTGACCGAAATGGGTATTACTTGAACAAGGTCCCTAGGTGGCGCAAATAGTTTGTGCTCGTCTGCTAATCTAAAAGTTGGTGGTTTGAACCCACCCACCAGTACCATGGAAGAAAAGGCCTGGCAATCAGCTCCTATAAAGATTACAGCCAAGAAAACCTTATGGAGTAGTTCTACCCTGTAACACATGGGGTTGCCAGGAGTCAGAATCGACTTGATGGCAACTAACAACAACAACATTACTCTAACAGGTGTCCCTTGGTGGTGCAAACAGCTAATGCACTCAGCCGCTAACTAAAAGGTGGGAAGTTCAAGTCCAGCCCTCAATCTATTTCCCAAAAATCAGCCATTGAAAACCCTGTGAAGCACAGTTCTACTCTGAAATACATGGGTTGCCATGAATTGGAATCAACTCAATGACAACTGGCTTAGCGGCATTCTGTGGTAGACATGGAAATGTGCTGCCCAGCTCCTTCTTCCAGGAAGGACTTGCTGTCCAGCTATGGGGAGTGTGGTCAGCAGACAGGCAACAGGGTCTGCCTCAGCTCAGAGACTTACCTCACCCATCGGCTCACCTTTCCTGGCGCAGCCAGACTAAGTGAGGGCGGGGTACAAAGACTCTAACATTCTAGCCTGTTGTGGGACACTCAGATGGACAATACACTTTCCATAGCTCCCCTCTGGGTTTTCTGAGGCTTGGTCAGGCCTGCATTGCAGTCTAACACTCCCTCTTCCCAATTCTGTTTCCTCTCCTTACTCATGCCAGGTTTTGATCTCTAGCAAATATCTTGTGCCCCAAAATCTTTCTCAGCATCTGCTTCAGAGAACTCAACCTGGAACACCTTCCCTCTAGTAACCATGGGCATGTCTCTTTTGCTAGTTAAATTGTATGCTCACCAACAGGCAGTTGTGTTTGATCTTAAACTTGTTATTGTAAATGTCTACTTTAATTACATATTTCATATAATAACATACATGAGAAAGTATGATTGTGAAAAAAGAATACTTTACATAAAAAGTCAGGTTGAATGCTTTGAGAAGACTTAATAGAGATGAATTACTAAAAATTGTTACTGAATTAGTCATTGGTGAGAAAACTATAGAAGATGAGAAAGAATTGTCGTAAAAATCTTGAAGGAATATGAACTTAGATTGCACTACGGCATGTTTAGTTTTTGTTTAACTTTAAAGAAAATCTAAGTGGACATTGTAGAGGCTGCGCTATGGGAGTGGTTCTTGCAAAGAAGATGGTTAAAATTTCAGTAAACAGATTTAAAGAAAAGCTCTTGGCAGTATAGTCAAAGATTGGCCAATGAATGTATGTTTGTATGTTTTAAGTTAAAATGTGTAGGTAGGATGAGGATCATTTTTTATGCGTCCCCTCTTTACCCATTTTTTTTCATAATCAACCAACTATTGGTCCCAGCCAAACTGAAGAAGACAGAAACATCTTCTGACTTCTGACAACACTCCCAACTTCTACCTCGATATTCTCCCGCAGATTCTTCACAGGTATGAGTTGTCCACTAGGGCTGGTAAGATGGAGGCCACCAACAGTCCCACTGACATCAAAGCGGCTGTGGGCTAGGAAGGGGCTCTTTGGGAAACTCGTCATCTGAAACCAAGAGCAAAGAGTGTTGGGCAAGACATCTGAGGGACTGGAAGGTGAAAGGCCCCCTATATGAATAATGAAGTATCCCAAGATGGGGCAGAGGAGTAGCCCCTGCCCTGTGGGGGGAGTGGAGGGCACCACCTTCAGCTGCTGCTGGTTTTCCATGCATGTCTCTGTCCTCTAGGGCTGTGGCCTCAGAGAGCTGGGCCTCGATAACCCAAATCAGACTTGCTTTGACTGAGCAATTACTGGAATGTAAAGCAGCCCAAGCTTTTCTTCACAGCAAAACCAATAAGTCTCTAAGAGAAAGATGTTTCTCTACATTCAATAGGACCAAAGGGGCAGATAGCTAGATGAGCCCAAATCTGAGGATGGAAAAGTGCACAGGATTGCAGCCCTGCCTTTGCCAGTTCCTAGTTGTGGAACTAAACCTAAAGAGCTTTCTTTCCAATAACTGACTAAATGAAGGCTGCTGTAGAAAAATTTTGCAACACAGCAAAAAAAGCCTGGATTCATGAGCTAGAAGGTCTGGGTTTGAATCCCAGCTCTGCCACTTACTAGAGGCCTTGGGCAAGTCACTGAACCTGTCTGTGTTCCAGTTATTCATCTGTAAAATGGGCATAATAATAGTTTGTAAACAGCAAGGCTGTTATCAGTGTAAATGAGCAGAGGTGCAGAGGCATGTGAGAGTGCTTTGCAAACTAAAGGGCTGTTCTTGAGGAGGTTATTAGTATTGTTACCCGTATGTCCACAGGCTCATGACTGTCTGCTATAGAGCTGAGGGAGGAGGAAGCAGGAAGAGTGAAGGTCGCAGAGTTAGCAGCAGCGACATGCACAGAGGGGCCTCGCCAGCTCTGTGGCTGTATTCTGGCCACGAGGTGAGAACAGAGTTGCCGGGAGAGAAAGGAGAAAGTCACTGTTAGAGAACAGTCCCCACACCTCCTGCACTACAGGGAATGCCCAGCTTTGCCATCAGAGTGGGCTGCTCAATTTTGATCCTTTAGATAGTTCTTCATATTTGCATCCATAGGAACAGCATAAAAGGCAGCTAGCTGACTCCCCCGTGGATTGTGAGTTCCACGAAGACAGGGCTTTTGTTGGCTTTGTTTACTGCTGTGCCCCCAATGCCTAGAACAGTGCCTCGCACATGGTCAATAAATATTTTTGTTGTATGGATAGTGGGCTTTGATGTAGACATTTCTCCAGGCTTATCTCCTGGACCTACTTTGAATTTCTGGTCTCATGGTCTCCCAGCCCTGTCTTTACTGGCCCTTGACCTTGACGCCTCAGTTTAGATTAGGGATCTGATTTCAAGTCACTTTTCCTAGTTCTGATCAGCTTCAGGATGTGGCTTTCGGAAAATATTCCTGGGGCCTAGAAAAGCAACCCTGGCAAGAGGGACTAAGGAATGGTGCTTGGTGCAGGGGTCCGAGGACACTGCCCAATGGAGCCTTCAGCGTCGTCCAGCCCCTGCTTCTCAAGTGGACGAATGGAGGGCAGAGGGCATCCCCACTTACTGTTTCTAGGTTCGGTGAGAGAGAGGCACTCCATGGTGAAACTCCCAAACCAAGTCTAACTTTAACCGTCAATGGGCCTATAGAGCAATGGGCTCAGCCAGACACACTGGTGGCTTGGTTAAAGGTAAGGCTGTCACTGCCCTTGCAGGCCTTGTCTGCACAGCTCCAACACGAGCCATCTCCCGGAACTCAGCTGGCCTAGCTGGGCTCAGCACTCAGTGCTTCCTTACCTGTACTATATAAATAGCCAACACAGTGGCCTTTTCTAAGTGAAAAGCACTTTCCAATTTCAGGTACCATCACTTCTCAGCCCCTACGGCCACCTCCTGGGCTCTACCGACCACAGAGACTCAGGTGTGTGGGGAATGAGTGAGATCTGGGAACAAGCTTTCTTGGGAACCCGCGATTACCTGTAGCTGGTTACCTGTTTGTGTACACAGACATGGAGGGGGTGGCCAGCATGGCTGGCAGGCCCCCAGGCAGGCTCCCCTGCAGGAGGGCTGTCTGTACGTGCCCCACAACGCCGAGCAGCTGTGGCACTGTGGCAGTCTGGGAGAGGAAACAGGAGAACATTGCTATGGACTCATTCCCTCGTGCCATTCTTGGTGACTGTCACCAGGCTAGTGTGGCACCTTCAGTGGGACTGGGAGAGGGCAGGAGAGTGAGACAGGAAGACAGGCATGGATACCGTTGATTGTACCATTCCAGTACACCGTATGTAACAATGAGAGCAAGCACTTAAGAAGACTCCAAACACTGACTTGATCAAACCCTTGTCATCCTCACAGCAACCCTAGGAGGCAAGTCTTGGCACTCCCCATTTAGAAAGTGAGGAAACCAAGGTACAGAGAGGACAAGTGACTTGCAGAGGTCACACAGCTGATTGGGGAAGAACTGGGATTCACAGAGGTGCCTGGCTTCAGAGTCTGTGCACTGAGCCAGCACGCTGTGTGCCTCTCTGTGCTGCTTCATCTAACCCCAACACCCACCCCGCCCAGGGCTCATTCTGTGGGAAATGGAAACTGAAGAAAGAAATTTGCAGGGTCACCTTCATCTTGGCTGGAACACCCACCTGGCTGCTGTAGGCCTCTCTGGGCTCTTCTGGTCTATCACTCAGGGAAGCCTCCAACACGCTGCCCACAGCCTGAAACAGGTCCCTGGTGGCTGCCTGGCGTCTCTGGTCCTTAGGATGGGCCCTGGCACTCGCTGCCAACAGGGCCTCACTGGCATGTTGAAGAGCCCGGCTGGCCTCCCACTAGGTTCCCCAATGGAGAAGGAAAAGCACTGTGAGCCCCTGCCCAGGATAGACTGGCCCCTGTACCATTTGAGGCACAAGGACTACAGTGGAGGGGAGTAAGACAGAGATATAAGCCAGGGGAGAGCTGGGCCAGACTGTATACAGCTGTCACACAAGCTGCCTGTATTTCTGACCTGGGGACAGGCCTTCTCTCCCTATGAGACTCTACGTTCCTTCAGGTGAGTAGCCAGGCCTGGTCTGTCCTAGAGTGCCATGCACAATTTATAGTATATAGCAGGCATTCAGTAATATTTTATGACTGGTCGGGGGAGATGTTGGATGGCAGATGGATGGAGGGTTGGATGAATGGATGGATGGTTTGATGGATGGACAGTGGATGATGGATGAGTGTATGGATGATGGATGGATAATGGATGAATGGTTAGATAGATGGATGGCTAGACAATGGATAGATGGACATAACATTTATTTTAATTTTGGAATTATATATGTATTTATATATTATTTGTTTAGTGTCTAGCTACCCCAGTAGTCTGAAAGTGCCATAAGGTCAGGGACCATGTCTGTAGGCTCAATGCTGAATCCCCAGTGACTTGCACAGTAGCTGGGACATACTAGGTAAGCTGTGTAGGCAGACAGGCCATCACACCCAGATTGAGATACAGGAGACTAGAAGAGGGCACCTTCCCTCTCTTGGCACCACCCATGTAGGACCCTCAGAAACAAGATGGCAGAGGTCTTGGTGGTCCCAGGAGAGTCCCATGACTGAGGCATTCTTCCAACATGTGCCAGGCTTAGTTATCACACACCCCCATGGGGGTGCATGTGGCTGAGTGGGTGGGAAATACTTACCTGGGCCAAGGGTGTGAGTTCCTCACTGCGGTGGGTCACCTCTCTGAGCACTTCAGCCAGCCTCTGCACCCTCTGCATCTCCTCCAGGGTGACAGTGATGGCAGACAGAGACCCCAGCACATGCTCTCTGACCTTGGCACAGTGAGGGAAAGGTGAGGAGAGTAATCGTAATTCCAGTGGCTTGATGAAGCCATTTCAGAAAGATTTGTGGTCAGTGTGAGCGACCAGGCTCATGTGGGGTTTTCCAAAGCCCCATAGACCTCCATTTGCCTAGGATGTGTGGTAGGCAGAATAGCATTCCCCTAAAGTTGTCCACATCTTCATCCTTAAAACCTGTTAATATGCTGCCTCACATGACAAAAGTGACTATACAGATGTGATTAAGGATTTTGAGATGAGGAGATTATCTGGGTGGGCCCTAAATGTAATCACAAGGGTCCTTATAAGAGGGGGCAGGAGGCTCAGAGTCAGAGACAGAGATGTGATCGCAGAAGCAGAGATCAGAAAGGAGAGAGATTTGAAAATGCTATGCTCCTGGCTTTGAAAATGGAGGAAGGGGCCATGAACCAAGGAATGCAGGCAGCCTCTGGAAGATGGAGAAGACAAGGAGCGGATTTTCCTCTAGAGTGCAGCCCTGCTGTCACCTTGATTTTAGCCCAGTGAGACCCATTTTGGGCTTCTGACCTCCAAAACTGTAAGATGATAAATTTGTGATGTTTTAAACCTCTAAATTTGTGGTAATTCATTATAGCAGCAACAGGAAACTAATACAGGATGTCTCAAGCTTTCTACAAATTTTCAAATCAAATCTGTAAAGTTTGACATCATTAAAAAAAAAAATGTGTCCAGGGTGGTAGTTGTGACCAGAATGGTATGAAATCCAGAAATTACATTGTTTAGTTGGCACAGTGTGGATAGGAGATGTCATTGGAGGCTTTGGGTCCCTGTATGCATTTGGAGGGGTTGGGTCAAGGATTCCCCTTTAGCCATCCCTCCACCCCTGCCTTGAGCCAGACCGTCTTGTCTTCTGGGGCAGATGCTTTCTAAGCCATACAGCCCTAATGAGGGACTGACCAGGGGCTGGCTTTGACAGCAGCAGGGAAAAACTGAGTATAATCTCAGCACTACCCAATAGAACTTTCTGGATTCATAGAAATGAATACTTCTGCTATCCAATATAGAAGCCACTAGCCACATGTGACTACTGGGCACTTTATAGGTGTCTAGTCTCACGTACTTTGGACATGCTATCAGGAGGGATCAGTCCCTGGAGAAGGACATCATGCTTGGTAAAGTAGAGGGTCAGTGAAAAAAGAGGAAGACCCTCTACGGGATGGGTTGACACAGTGGCTGCAGCAATGGGCTGAAGCATAACAACGATTGTGAGGATGGCACAGGATCGGCCAATGTTTCGTTCTGTTGTACCTAGGGTCGCTATGAGTCAGAACAGACTTGACAGTACCTAACAACAACAGTGAAACTCAGGAACTGAATTTTTCATTTTATTTAATTTGAATTAATTTAACTTTAAATTTAAGTAGCTGCACGTAGCTAGTGGCAATAGTTTTGGGTAGCACAGATACAGATGAACTGACATTCGCACCCACATGGCCTACAACTCACAACTCTCTCAATCTGAAAGTCTTACACAGCCGCTGCAGAGTTTGAGCATGGCTGCCATCAGCTCAGGGTGGCTCTGGCTGCCATCCAGGCTATGGCTTGGATGGAGGAAAAAAATCCCGTACTCGCCTTCAAGTCGATTCTGACTCATAGTGACCCTGCAGGACAGAGTAGAACTGCCTCATAGGGTTTCCAAGGCTATAATCTTTATGGAAGCAGACTGCCACATCTTTCTCCCACAGAGCAGCTGGTGGGTTCGAATCGCCATTTTTTCTGTTAGCAGCCGAGTGCTTAACCACTGCACCACCAGGGCTCCTCTGGAGGGAAGAATAGGTGTGTATATTAGGAGGCTCTTCTCTGAATGTTCTGGAAGGGAAACTAAGGTATGGGTATCCTCTGTCTGCCCTTTCTCACCCTGCCCTGTGCTCCCAGAGGCTACCTGTTCAGAGGCATCACCAGCTCCTGTCCCTCTGGCCAATGGATTCAGCCAGTGGGAGGCCCAGCAGGAGACGAGAGGATAGAAGGAGAGAGAGGTGGAAGACTTCATTCTCCCCATGTCCTCCCTGCCAGCTCACTGTGGTTGGCTGCATGGTTCTTCTGAAGCCGCTGCTCCTGGCAGGGCGCCCTCCCCATACAGAGCTACCCTCTCTGGATTCTGGTTGGTCCTGAACTCTCTCTTGTTTGTTCCCTAAACTCTCCCTACACTTTTCTGAATAGACTTTTCTTAAGATATCCTCAATTGCCCAGTTTGAGTTTGACATTTGTTTTGGGCCAGGAATCTGACATTCCATGGGGAGACTTTTTTCAGAGTGCATGGTCTGTGCGCTTAGATACCACAGGATGGTCCAGCATGAAGTTTGACACATATAATGCTCAAAATGAATACAAGTGGGAATGAAGAGCCAGGCTGTGTGTGTGTGTGTGTGTGTGTGTGTGTGTGTGTGCTTGCACAGGACAAAACTGAATCTCTCATCCATCATCAGTCTCTTCAGGGTGACATGCAATTTAGGAGCAAAACAGAGAGATGTTGGCCAAGGGCTTCATTGTACCTCTTGCAGATGGGTCTTTTGGCTGAATAATCACATTGGTAGCTTTGGAAGACTACCATATCCATGTAGCATACAGTGAAGAGTGGATAAACCCATATGTTCTGCAATAGCTGTGTATATCATTAGATTGTAACACATAAAACGACAATGGTTGAATGTCAGCAATTTCTTATGGGTCATGTGGTTTGACCTATAGTTACATTTAATGTAATTCTTATTTAACTCTCACCAGACCTTGTGAGGCAAATACTATTATTATCCACATTTGAAGATGGGTGACTGAGACTTAGACAAGGTCAGTCACTAGCCTGTGACAATACAGATGGTAGTGACAGAGCTGGGACAACATCTAAGGTCCCAAACCCAATCCATTAACCATATGATCTAGGCCAAGTCACTTTTCTCTTCTGGAGCTCAGTTTTGTCATCTATAATATAACATAAAGGGACTGGAGGGACGATGTCTCAATTCCCTTCCAGCCTGCGACACCATGAGAGTGTACAGAGAAAGCAGGTAACTGACAAAGCAGGCATTTTCCCCCCTTTATGGCCACTCACTGAAGGACCAGAAGAGGGAGGTAATACCCACAACTTGGAAGACACCAGTGGCATCTCCAGTGGTATCTCCACTGGTGGCTGAACCTCATTCTCCAGCCAAAATGGCTGCATATAGACCCAGGGCCCCAGTGGAAGGATGTGATAGGAGCCCATCTCAAGTACCTTCTTTCTGGTGTCCATTTCCAGCAGCTGCCCAAAGCCATTCCCTGGGCACTCCTGGTTCAGCACGGAGGACACAGACTTGGCCAGCTGGAAAAGCTGCTCAGAGCCATGCTCCCCTTCCAGAACAGCAGTAATGGTCTCTGACACTGAAGCCTGGAACGCCGCATCCTCCACACGTGTGTCTCCAAACCTTACCTAAGGGGGAAACCAGGAATGTGCTCATGCAGAGAAGACCTCAACTCTGGTTCTCGCATAAGAACCTGGTGCCTGAAGTCATGAGTCTTCACGTGGGGACAGGCTTGGAAGCTTTTGTGCCTGGCATGGAGGCCCTGGGCACTTCTTGGGGCTTTAAGGCAGCTGGCAGCCACCAAAACAAGCCTTGGGCAAGTCATTGCTTCACCCACACTGCCCTCCTGACTGTGCTCTCGATCCCTGCCAATTGCACCTGGCTGTGACCCTTGAAGTGTTCCGGGATTTATCCGGACCTCTGCCCTCTAGCTTTGTTGGTAAATGATGGTTTCCTGGGCTTCTTCCTTGGACTCTCTGAAGGCACTGGTCTAACTCATCCTTGGGCCTTTCTGTATCTCAGCTTTCCTAGCCTCATTCCCAGGACCTTATTCTGGCCACTAAGCCATAAGACCTACAAAGGCAGAGACCATGGCTGATTTGCTCACAGCTGTATCCCCAGGGCCTGGCACATGGAAGTTGCTTTGCAGATATTTGTTGAACATTGAATCAATGTTGAGTCAATCAATGACTCATCTGGCCATGCCCCAAGCCACCATCCACCCAGCCACCCCCTTGGTGAGGTCCAGACAGCTTAAGAAGTTTTCTCAGTAAAGAAGCAATGGCCATGGTCACCACCCACCTTAACCATGGCATAAGTCTGCTGCCTGCTGCCTGCACGGTCAGTGACAGAAATGACCACTGTCAGCATAAAGTCATTGCTTTCCTTTCCAAGTGGTAGATAAACTGATGCGAGGGCTGGCTCGGGGCCACAGTGTAGGCAGGAACCTGGAAAAATGGAAATCAAACAATAAGGGGTGCCTCCAAGCCCTGGAGAGACTGCAGACCTGCCTGAGTGGAGCCTGACACAAGGACACAAAAGCCACAGCTCACAAAGGTGCGGCAAGCACTCAAGATTCCATACCTTCAGGGAAAAGGCAGCCATATATACTGATCCACTATCCTTTCTAGGCAACCTCATGCTGCTCTGACTTTGGAATAATTTCAGGAAAAACACCCCATTTACAAAGTTGTTGTTTTTAATTCTAAGTGCTAAATTAAAAAATATATATATATCTTAAAAATAGTTTAAAACATATCCAAGCTCAAACGTCACTTCCTTTACAAAGGCCTTCTCTGGGTGCTCTATCTGAAACAGTGTCCCTGTCATATAGGTCTTTGTTCACCAGCTGTCTCTGCCACTAGACTGTGAAGACAGAGGAGAGGGCCAGGACTTCCTCTATTTTATCCGCTGGTTTATATCCAGCACCTCGAACAGAGCTTGGCATTCAATACATATTTGTTGTAAAGAATGAACAAAGGAATATCCTTTGTATCCTTAACACATGACCCATTTACCATTAGAATCACTAATCCATTGTACAGTGTGCAGACAATCTTGGAGCTGTAGAGTTGCGATGGAAAAACTCAGTTTTATGTGGTCACAACTTACCTGCTTCCTGTTCAAGCTGTAACAAACCTACTTCTTACCTCTCTGCAGTGTTTCCAAGTGACAGCAGGATGAGGTAAGCATGCCTTGGAGCTGGGGCCTAAAGTTTAGGGGATCCCTCATTCTACAAACCGATCTCTCATAGAACACACTCTTTGAAGCTCCCAGAGAGAGCTGAGTCCCTCTTCTTGGAGAGGACGTGCCCAGGGGCCAAGGGAAAGGCACAGTCCTTGGTGGGTACCTGATTCCAGACAGAAGCAGTACTGCAGTGGGGCCGGGGCCGTGGAGGCATTGCACGAGATGGTGAAACTCGTCAGAATGTCGCCCTCCTCTGGGGTGATGGTGCAGGCTGGCACCTCGGGGGGAGGCAGGTTGCTGATCACATAGGTGTCCTGCCCATAGGCATGCCTGGCCAGTGCTGGGGATGAAGGTAGGTGGTGCTCAGGGGGCTGTGTGGTTCACACACATGCCATCATGCTACAAGATCACCTGGGAACTTGTTAAACATGAAGATTCCTGGGCCCCTCCCCAGACCCACAGCCTCAGACTGTCCCTGGAGATTCTAGAGTGGGGCCCCAAAACCTGCATATCTAACAACCCCCTGATGCAGGGGGACCAAGGGTCTCACTTGGAGAGATTGAGTACAGATGGAGGAACAGAATCAGGCCAACCTGAGCTTGAATCCCAGTTCTGCCATTTATTAGCCATGTGACCTTGGACTTAACCTTTTTGAGAGTCCATTCCTCACCTGTAAAACAGGGCAAAAAATAATACCTTCCTCACAGAGCTTTCCTGAGGAGTACGAATATTGGGAATAAATGACTGGGTCAACATCCAGAGCCAAGGGCCAGTGCCAGCATCTGGAAACTGGCTAATCCTACCTGGAAGCCCATGCTCTTCCAGGACCCCACAGCACCATGAAGAGGTCTCAGTTGACCTGCAACAATGTCCCACATTGCTTGGTAGAACTTGTTTTTCAAAAAAGGGTATGTGGACTTCCAGGCAACATGGCGTTATAGTCAGAAGCACCACGCTGTTCCTCCACAGCAAAGATCAGAAAAACTAAGTCAAACAGAGTCACACATCAATCCTGAAAGCCTAAGCATCAAATAAAGAGATAAAGAACTCAGCCAATCACCGAATGGAATAAGAAACTGACCAAGAACAGAGAGCAAGGAGAGATACATGCAGAGGTCCCCTATGAGCTACAGAAGCATGGATCCGCCATCTTGGACTCCTATTGGAGATCAATGAACAGGAGGTATGAGAAAGCAGCTTCACAGACCTTCCAGCAGGAGACAGAACAACCGGTAACCAGTGATACACACTTTCTCACCCCCCACCCTTTTTCACCCCCACTTAGCCTCCTCTGCTTCCTGCAGCCACAGTCTCTTGGTTGGGAAGCACAAGCTTTACCCCAGTGTTGCTTGGATCCCACCCGCCCGCACTGACCGGCTTCCTGAGTGCCTTTTGTTGGCTGCTGGTGTTGCATTTTTATGCTTCTTTAGATTTCTTCCTTACCTCTCACCACCTCCCCCTCCATTCTCTCAAGTACCTGGCACCGTGTGCCATCTTTGCTTCTTCCTGAAAGGCTGCGAAACACTGCTCGACTGGGAAACTGCCTCCCGGCCCGTACTGCCACCCTGGTAGGACCCCCGGAACTTTTTGTTTGTTTGCTCTGATTTGTTCTGTTTTGATTTGTTTTTTTCTTTTTCTTTTCTCGGCTTGGGACCCCCTTCTAGCTGGGCAGTACTGCGCAGCTTGGAAGCTACTCCCTTACTCTGCGCAGACACACAGGGACAACCCTGGGGGCATTTCTCTCTTCTTTTTTTTTTTTTGGTTTTGGTTTATTTTTGTTTCTTTGTTTTGTTTTCTTCTCTCTCTTATTCCCTTTTTGTCTTTCTTCAATTCTAGTTTCTCTATTCATTTTTTTCTTTTACCCTTTTTCTTTTTCCCCATTTCTCAGTCTCTCATCTCTCCACTCCAATAGCAAGCTCCCTTAGCAGTCTTTTTTGTTTGTGTGTATGTTTTTGGCTCCTGTTCCTCTCTCCTCTCTCTCATCTTTCCCATAGCCATCTTAGCTCCACATGTCACAATCTACCCCCTCCT